CTTCCATGCAAATGTGGTGGTGGGTTTTTGAACACAGCAGCTGGAGCCTTTAGTCAATTATGATCCCAGCAGTTGGTGATTGTGAAGCAGGAAACTGTCAGTTTGGGTTTATCTGATATTCCTTCGTGTTTAGTTTTGATTGTGTAGTTTTGGTAGTAATAATAGTGGAGCAACACCACATCAGGAGACCTAAAATGTTGGTTTGTTCTATTATCAATAATATGAACATCTTGGCTAAGAGACTATTCACCAGATTTCTCCATGATATACCTACTATATCTCCTTTTATAATTAATAATACTTTATAGAGAGATATTTTCAGGTGCATAGCATCTGTGTCTCAGTAACTGTAAACCAATAAGCCATACCTGCAGTCTTAGGAGTTGTGAGGACAAGAAATTTTTTTTTCATCTATTGAGTTTTCTGTTATAAATATCCTGACAACCTATTATGGTATCTTATGACAGCAAAAACAGAACAAAACAAAACCCAAACCAAACCAAAGTAAAGGCACTGGGTTTCCAACATCATGTGCAGAGAAAAGTTTAACATAAAGTTGAGACTGCTATCCTTAGTGAGACCTGCTTGCCAGGCTGGCTCCTGATTGGTATCTGGGTGCTTGAATTGTCCTGGAGGATTCCTAACATTCCCTAAGAGTAGGTCACAGTGCCTAAACTCTTTGTGCAATGTGGTTTATGCGGAGTATCTATTTTCCTTCTGAGAGTCTCTAATTTTGGTACATTCCAGGCAGAGAATGCATACGTGACCAGCCCCCAATAACAAAATCTAGGGCATTCAGTCTCTGATGCATCTCTCTGGTGTCAATTATGTGTGTTATCACAATTTAGTGCTGAAGGAACTTGGTACATTGTGATTCCATAAGGAGAGGACTCTTAGAAGCTTACACCTGATTTCCTTCAGATTTCATCCTACTTATCTTTGCTTATTTTCATCCTTTCAGTGTAACAAATCAGGTGTGAGTATTCCCGTCTTGTGAATACTCAAAGGGAATGAAAGAAAATGGAAATAGCCTTAGGAACCCCCACACAAATTGAGACAGCACAGGCCTTACTAAATACCTAGCATCCCATAAATGTGTGGTCCAGAAAATCAACAGTGAGGACCGGTCTCAACTAGATACAATTTGCTGAGTAAACCCCTTTAATCAACTACAAATTGATCACCAGTTCACCACTACAAATTGATCACCAAATCACCACTGGGTCTGACTATGGAACAGCATCCAAACCTGCTCTTCATCTTTATTGGTTCCATGTCTTGAGGGTCAACTGCTATTATTTTATGTTCTTTCTTCATGCACACTTTTTAAAAAATTATTTATTAATGAGAGACACACAAAGAGAGACAGAGACATAGGCAGAGGGAGAAGCAAGCTCCCTGCGGGGAGAGCCTGATGTGGGACTCAATCCTGGAACTCTGGGATCACACCCTGAGCCAAAGACAGATGCTCAACCACTGAGCCACCCAGGCATCCTCATGCACACCTTAAAAAAAAAAAAATTTTTTTTTTTAATGCCTCCACAATGTATTTATTTATACTCATTTTGTTTCTAGCTCCAGGATTTGCCCTCTCGTCGTTACGGATTTATACTTAAAGCCCAGCAAGAGTTAATCACAAAAATACTATTGTTAAAACTCGACAAGCTATTTGTGTATGTATAACAACCATAGGTTTTGCTTTTGAAATTGGATTCCAAAGCTCATTCCTTGATTTTGATCTTACCTGCCATATGACAATATAGAACACTCCTAATGGCTTAACTGCAAGGGATAATTATTTAGTACTTTCCTAAATTCTGTAACAGTAATTTCCATATTTAATGAAAAACTGGAACATAATTTAAATGGAAAAGTATCAGGGGTGGGGGAGAGAGGAATAAAAACTGGGAAAAGACCACAAAATGCTCCTTTCCAAGGAAAACCATTATGGAAGAACATCCCTTTATACATTATCTTATGCATGTACACATATACACATGCATGCACACACATATACTCACAAAGATTTATGTTTGATTATGCTATGAAGGCTATAATCTATTTTTCAAAGCCTATATTAAGTATTTCTCATGTCATTACAGATATCTATCATAATCTTAATGACTTCCAAGTTAATATAGGAATATACCAGAATTCAAATTCCTACGTATGGACAAGTACTTAATCCCATGTATAAAAACTCAGTGATATCAATATGGTGATTTTTTTGGTATTTTAATCTCAGAATCTTAACTTTCAATTATATGATTTCCAAATCAAAGAGATGTACAACCTATATTGACATACACTCCTTTCCCAGAACCATGCTTCAGTGCTGCCAATAGGGAAAAGCATAAAAATATCAATCTCACCTTAGAAATACATTTGATAAAATTATCAAATTCCCACAAATTTGGGGTTATTCCTTTCATGGGTGTGGGGAATAGGGTATAGAGCCTATGTGAGAAGTTCTGATAAAAGAAATACTACTGTAATTAGAAGGCAAACATTTGAGTTGGGATGGAAATGCAGTTAGATATCACCAACTGTAACTACTTGTGACATTTTCAAAGTGTTACAGTAAATTCTGCCTTAATAGTGAGAGATTAAAAAAAAATCAATTGTATGAAATGAAGTCCTTGCAAGGTTTAAAAAAAAAAACCACAACTTTCTCAGTCTGTACTGTCAAAAAAATTACAAAAGACAGTTCAATAGAAACTGTATACAATCCTTGGAAAACCAGTCAGGGCCCCAGATAAGAACCGACTTGAGAACAAAGGCTGTGAGAGGAGAGGAGGCAATTGTAGTAGAGTAATAACATTAATGTTGTGGACTGTAATATCAGGTGGTTTTCTACATTTCAACAAATGTTCACTTCCCTGAATTAATTTTATTTTGCAGGTTTCCACCTCTGGATACAATTTTCATGTTTATTTAACATAAAGGTAGTGAGCACACTTACAAGTCAATGTTAAGGCTGTGTAGATTTTTTAAGCTTTTATTTGAATTCCAGTTAGATAACATACAGTTTATTAGTTTCAGGTGTACAAGAGTGATTCAGCACTTCCATACATCACCCAGTGCTCATCACAAAGTGCACTCCTTCTTAATCCCTATCACCTATGTAACCCATCCCCACCCCCACCTCCCCTCTGATAACAATCAGTTTGTTCACTATATTTATACGAGTCTGTTTCTTGGTTTGCCTTTTTCTCCCTTTGCTCATTTGTTTTTTCTTAAATTCCACATGAGTAGAAGAATCATACAGTTTTTGTCTTTGACTAATTTTCCTCAGCATAATAATCTCTAGTTCCACCCATGTTGTTGCATATGGCAATATTTTGTTCTTCTTTATGCCTGAATAATATTCCATTGTATATATATACATCCTTATCCATTTGTCAGTCGATAGACACTTGGGCTCTTTCCATAAGTTGGCTATTGTAAGTAATGCTGCTATAAACATTGGGGTGCATGTATCCCTTTGAATTAGTATTTTTGTACTCTTTGGGTAAATAACTAGTAGTACAATTGTTAGATTGTAGGGTAATTCTATTTTTAACTTTTTGAGGAACCTGCATACGGTTTTCCACAGTGGCTGCACCAGTTTGCATTCCCATAAACAGTGCAGGAGGTTCCCCATTCTTCAGATCCTTGCCAAAACCTTTTTCTTGTGTTGTTGATTTTAGCCTTTCTTACAGGTTTGAGGTGCTATCTCGTTGTAATTTTGATTTGCATTCCCCTGACAATAAGTGATTTTGAGCATCTTTTCATGTCTGTTTGCCATCTGGATTTCTTCTTGGAAAAACGTTTATTCATGTCTTATGTTCATTTTTAAATTAGATTTGTTTTTTAAGTGCTGAGTTTCATACGTTCTTTATATACTTTGGATATTAACTCCTTATCAAATACATCATAGGCAAATATCTTTTCCCATTCAGTAGGATGCCTTTTAGTTTTGTTTCCTTTGCTGTGCAGCAGCTTTTTATTTTGATATAGTCCCAATGGTTTTTGCTTTTGTTTCCCTTGCCTCAGGAAACCTATCTAGAAAAAAGTTGCTATAGCTGATGTCAGAGAAATTAGTGCCTGTGCTTTCTTCAAGGACTTTTATGGTTTCAGGTCCCATCACACTTAGGTCTTTAATCAATTTTGGATTTATTTATATGTATGATGTAAGAAAATGGTTCAGGGGATCCCTGGGTGGCGCAGCGGTTTGGCGCCTGCCTTTGGCCCAGGGCGCGATCCTGGAGACCCGGGATCGAGTCCCACATCGGGCTCCCGGTGCGTGGAGCCTGCTTCTCCCTCTGCCCGTGTCTCTGCCCCCCCCCCTCTCTGTGACTATCATAAATAAATAAAAAAGGAAAAGAAAATGGTTCAATTTCATTCTTTTGCATGTTGCTCTCTAGTTTTCCCAATAACAGTTGAAAAAAAAAACTGCTTTTTTTTTTCCCATTGGTTATTCTTTCCTGCTTTGTCATAAATTAACTGAACATATACTTTGGGTTCATTTCTGAGTTTTCTATTCTGTTTAATGACCTATGTGTCTATTTTTGTGCCAGTACCATATTGTTTTGTTTACACAGCTTTGCAATATTACTAGAGGTCTAGAATTATGCCTCCAGCTTTGAGGGCTGTGTAGATTTAGCAGCAAAGTCCCTGCCCTCATGAAGCTGACATTCTACTGGGTATCAATTCTGGTACGCCCATCATTATACTTGTGTTAAGTGCCAGATCAAACTCTTTTCCTAAGTACTACCTCCTACGTGATTCTGAACAAAGACTTATCACATCACTTACAAGGTTCCTCCACTATGTGATCTGGTGAAAACAGATAAATTTGATTATTGCTTAAATACCAACAAAATTAACACAAGTATTTTCTTTCTTATGAGACTAAATGATAATAAGAATCCAGGGTTTTATAAAACATCATTCTGGAGAAGTTCTTCCTGACGATTCTTTGATGTTCTTACCATTCTTGTTACTTTCATAAATTGTACTGCCACCATGAGTTTTGCGATGATGGGAAAGTTTTGATCGCCAACGGAAGCTCTGGCCACATGTCTCACACTTGTAAGGTGTCTCCCCTGTGTGAACCCGCTGATGAGATTGTAGCTGTGAAGAGTGACGGAAGACCTTGCCACATACGTCACATTTGTATGGTTTCTCTTCACTGTGGACACTCTGATGAACCTTAAGACTCGAGGCCTGACTGAAGTGCTTACCACACTCCCCACACTTGTAGGGTTTCTCTCCTGTGTGGACCCTCTGATGCATGTCAAGATTCAAGCTCCACTTGAAGCCCTTCCCGCACTCCTCACATTTGTACGGCTTTTCTCCCGTGTGGACTTTTTGATGGGCTTGAAGGTGTGAACTGCGACCAAAGCTCTTCCCACACTCTTCACATTTGAATGGTTTCTCTCCACTGTGGATTCTCTGATGGGCCAGAAGATTTGCAGCCTGCCTGAATACTTTCCCACACTCCTCACAATTAAATGGTTTCTCTCCTGTGTGGATTCTGCAGTGAATTTTGAGATCTGCTCGACGATTGAATCCCTTTCCACACTCTTCACATTTGTGTGGTTTCTCACCAGTGTGGATCAGCTGGTGAATCTGAAGTCGGGAACTCTGATTGAAGCCCTGCCCACACTCCTCACACTTGTAGGGTTTCTCTACACTGTGGGTCTTCAGATGGGATTGAAGATATGCTCTCTGACTGAAATCCTTCCCACATACCTCACATTTATAGGGTCTCTCTCCTGTGTGGACTACCAGATGAACTTGATAACGGGTTTTTGTCCCAAAGTTCTTCCCACACTCATCGCATTTGTATGGTTTCTCTCCTGTGTGGACTCTCTGATGGGCCTGAAGATTTGAACTCATAGTAAAGCCTTTACCACACACTTTGCATACATATGGCTTCTCTCCAGTATGGATTCTCTGATGGGCCCGAAAATGTGAAGGTTGAATGAAGCCCTTCCCACACTCCTCACATTTATAAGGTTTCTCTCGTGTGTGGCCCTTCTGATGGATATGAAGATTTGAGCTACAAAAGAAACATTTCCCGCACTCTTCACATTTGTACAGTTTTTCTCCCGTGTGGACCATACAGTGACTATTAAGTGATGACCTACGTCGGAAATTCTTACCACATTTATCACATTTGAAGGGTTTCTCCCCAGTGTGGATTCTCTGATGCTCCTGAAGATGTGAAGCATGAATGAATGCCCTTCCACATTGGTCACAATTATAAGGTTTCTCTTCCATGTGCAATTTATAATGAACATTAAGTGCTGATCTGCGACAGAAGCCATTCCCACACTTCTCACATTTGAATGGCTTCTCTACAGTGTGGACTTTCTGATGGGTTTGCAGACATGAGCTCTGACTGAATTCCTTACCACACTCATCACACTTATAGCGTTTCTCTCCCAAATGAACTCTCTGATGAATATGAAGTGCTGAGCTGTAACAGAAGCTTTTTCCACACTCACGACATGTATGAGACTTTACTCCTGAGTGGATTTGTTGATGAAGATCAAAGTTGGAGACATCACTGAAATATTTTTTAAATTCACTGCACTGATCAGGTTTCTGGCCTGTGTGAGTTGTAGACTGCCCTGCCCCAACATGTCCAGGTAAATCACCTTGTTTGGGGAGCTGAGAACTCTTTATCATGGAGCCTTGACACCTACTTAAGTCACTTGCAATCTGTTGCCAGATCCTCCAGCAAGAATGCTCTTCAGGTGGCTCTGCTTCTAAAACAGTCTTCATCTTACTTTGGATCTTTCCTCCTGTAAAGACAGAATGCAGAGATGTGGACAACTGAAGGCTTTGTTCAATATTTTCAAGATTTCATATTTAGAAGAAAGCATGAGATTTTAATTAATCCAGAGCATGTTCACGTCTTTTTCCTTGCGTATCTTATTCTCTGGTTTACATGTACATAGAACCCAAGAGGGGTCCAGTGGGCTCCTATCCACTAAGCAAGTTACACCACATCTCCTAAGAGAAGTACAAGTTAGATGTCAAAGACTTAATTCAAAAATTGATAATATGATTCAAACTATTAACTTATGGCCACTTCTATTGAATTTGAAAGTCAGTGTAGTAAATTGAATAGTAAATTAGGTAGTTAATAAATTATGGAGACAGAAATGTTATATAGATAATAAAGAATGAATCAACCAGAACTTCAGGAAAAGCACAACAATCAAATTTTGGGTTCATTTTATATATCGTAATATCAAATACCTTGAAATATTTACATTTATATATTCAAAGTATTCCTGGAAACTCTGCACATGTTCAGCTAATCTTATCTTTATTTTGACAGACATTAAATGAGTTGGCTACTATTATAAACTTCTGACCACTTGTAACAATTTAAGTTCAGAAATTTGTCTTTGGTGTCCATCGAAAGATGAATGGATAAAGAAGATGTGGTTTATGTATACAATGGAATATTACTCAGCCATTAGAAACAACAAATACCCACCATTTGCTTCGACGTGGATGGAACTGGATGGTATTATGCTGAGTGAAATAAGACAATCGGAGAAGGACGAACATTATATGGTCTCATTCATTTGGGGAATATAAATAATAGTGAAAGGGAATAAAGGGGAAGGAAGAAAAAAATAAGTGGGAAATATCAGAAAGGGAGACAGAACATGGAAGACTCCTAACTCTGGAAAACAAACTAGGGGTGGTGGAAGGGGAGGAGGGCGGGGGCTGGGGGTGACTGGGTGGCAGGCACTGAGGTGGGCACTTGACGGGATGAGCACTGGGTGTTATTCTGTATGTTGTCAAATTTTACACCAATAAAAAATAAATTTATTAAAAAAAAAGGAAAAATAAATTTGTCTTCCAAAATGTTTATCCCTCTTAAAAATTGGTATTCCCAAGTCTATTTTTATACAAAGGTTATCTAAACATTTGGAGATTATTTTTTCAATAAGCTTTTCAATTAGTTTAAGAAGTACTTTTCTTAAAACTCAACAATAAGGGAAAAAAGAACCGGGTTAAAAAATGAACCAAAGGGACACCTGGGTGGCTCAGTGGTTGAGCTTCTGTCTTTGGCTCAGGGCATGATCCCAGAGTTCCAGGATCAAGTCCCACATCGGGCTCCCTGTAGGGAGCCTGCTTTTCCCTCTCCCTATGTCTCTGTCTCTCTCTGCTTGTGTCTCTCATGAATAAGTAAATAAATAATCTTTAAGAAGAAAAAAAAAAGAACCAAAACCCCTAACATATACTTTAGCGAAGAAAATATACAGATGGGCCAATAAGCATATGAAAAGATGCTCCACATCTTATGTAATCAGGGAAAGGCAAATCCAAACACCGAGATACCCTACACACTTACTAGAATGGTCAAAATCAGGACACCAACACCATCAAATGCTGCCAAGATATAGAGCAACAGGAACTCTCATTCACTGCTGGTAGGAATGCAAAATGGTACAGCCATTTTGGAAGAGTTTGGTGGTTTCTTACAAAACTAAACATACTCTTAGCATACTCTCCTGATACTGCCCAATTTGGTATTAACCAAAAGGATTTGAAATTTTAAGGCCACACAGAAAACTATACACAGATGTTTATGACAGGTTTATTCGGGATCCCTGGGTGGCGCAGCAGTTTGGCGCCTGCCTTTGGCCCAGGGCGCGATCCTGGAGACCTGGGATCAAATCCCACATCGGGCTCCCGGTGCATGGAGCCTGCTTCTCCCTGTGCCTGTGTCTCTGCCTCTCTCTCTCTCTCTCTCTCTGTGTGACTATCATAAATAAATAAAAATTTATTAAAAAAATAACAGGTTTATTCATAAGGACAAAACTTGGAAGAAACCAAAATGCTCTCCAGTGGGTGAACAGATAAATATTACCTGTGGTACACTGATATAATGGAATATTATTTGGTGCTAAAAAGAAATGAGCTATTAGCTATGAAAAGACACAGAGAAAATGTAAATGCACACTATTAAGTGAAAGAAGCCAAACTGAAAAGTATGATTCCAACTCTACAACATTCTTAAAAAGATAAAAGTATGGACACAGTAAAATGATCAGTGGTTGCCAAGGGTTAGAGGGGAGGGGATGAATAGATGGAGGACAGGATTTTTAGGGCAAGTGTAACCATTCTTTACAATACAATAATGGTGGCTACATGGCTTTATCCATTTGTCCAAGTCCATAAATGTGGTACCACCAAGAGTGAACCCTAATGTAAAGTACAGACTCAGTGATAATGATGTGTGAATATAAATTCATCAATTTTAGCGGGCGGGGGATATTGATAATATAAGAAGCTCTGGGTACATGGGAACAAGGGATATATGGGATATCTCTGTCCATTCCCTCTCAATTTTGCTATGAACCTAAAACTGCTCTAAAAAAAAGTCTTTGAAAGCACTACTGAAAAATCTTTATGAAAGAGAAATTTACTCCCCTACCTGTATGAATAGTCAATTGAAAGCTGCCCCCTCAGGACGCCTTGGTGGTTCAGTGGTTGAGCATCTGCCTTTGGCTCGGGGCGTGATCCCGGAGTTCAGGGACTGAGTCCCACATCAGGCTTCCTGCATGGAGCCTGCTTCTCTCTCTGCCTGTGTCTCTGCCTCTCTCTCCCTGTGTCTCTCATGAATAAATAAATAAAATCTTAAAAAACAAACAAAAAAACCTGCCCCCTCTTTCGATCCAGTAGACAAGTGGTAAACAGCCTCTATCTAACTCTGCCTTGGGTCCCTTTATTGGAAAGGTACTTCAGTGTCGAGACAACTGGAATGTCTAGAATGAACTGCAAGTTTGGGAGTGAATACTTAAATGGCACACTGATTAAAACACAGCATAAAGCAGAGAGTGGAACTTTAGCTCCTACAGGCAAGTTTCTTCATGAGGACAAAAGGGCAATAAAGTTGAGCAGAAAATATACATGGTTTTAAACCCAACAGTAATTCAGATCTTTAGGGGGGAAAAAGACAATAGAAATGAGCCCAGGAAAAGGAAAAAATGAGGTCACAGTGTAAACTCTGGAAGCCAACCCTAGAGTGGGAGTTTGATCCTGCTAGGAACTCTTCCCAGACAGACACATGGATCGCTCCTCATGATTTTTAAGTCTCTGCTCAGCCCAACAATGAGCCCCTTTACTGCCCATTATAAAGTAATTAATCCCGTCCTCACCCAGTGCACCTCCTGTGACTCCAATCCCTCCTTGTTTATGTACCATACAGCACCTGGCACCATGAGACATGCTAAGTCTTCTGTTGTTCACCATGTCTGTCCCACCATGATGAGGCATCATGGAGGGAAGTATGTTACACTGTGTAGGCTGAACACATTTGACACCTTCCTACTTTATAATGAATGCCCAGAACTGTGCCCAGAACATGGTAATAGTTAACAAATGTGTGTTGAATAAATAAATGAATCCCAGTTTGACTATTTTGGTGAGAGTTTATAAGCCAAGTCCTAGAAGGAAAACATATTTTAGAAAGTAAGTTATTTGAAAGAGGAAAGGGACAAAACACTGTGGCTTTGCTGGAAAGCTGCAAAGCTATATACAAGGGACACCAAGAGCCAGGGGTACATGATGCAGAATGCTAATAAGAAAATCAAAGATGGCAAGAATCCTTAGGGTGAAAAGGAAGGAGGGCCTCTGCTGGTTCCTTTTGAAGATTTAGGACTGTTTCTTTGTTCCCACTCTTGTGGGAAAATTGTGGATGTACAGATGTGTGGACAAAATAGCCCAAAACAACAGTTTTTCAAGTTGAAAAACTCCAATACTCTAGCGAGGTGGGAAGATTTAAAAGCTTCAGGACAGAAACTCAGAGAATCACTGCCAACAGGACAGGAGTCATTACACAAAATGCCTATGAAAGTCACAGATATAAACTAACACATGAAATGTTTATTCTGATTACAAATGAAAGATGCATTTCCTAGTATGGTTCATACTCAAAAAAAAAAAAAGAAAGAAAAACTTGAAAACTTTGACTCTAGAAGTTACATAGTTCTTAACAAATTATTCAGATGGAAAGATAAGCTTCAATAGAATCTTGGAAAATATATCCTTAAGTAAGTATGTACTTTTTGGTAGGTAATATAGTTCATAGTTATATTTAACAAATTGACCTCTAAAAAACTACTCTTAAAAGAGTAGTTGTGGGATGCTGGGTGGCTCAGTGGTTGAGCATCTGCCTTTGGCTTAGGTCATGATCCCCGGGGTCCTGGGACCAAGTCCCACATTGGGCTCCTTGTGGGGAGCCAGCTTTTCCCTATGCCTATGTCTCTGCCTCTCTTTGTGTGTCTCTCATGAATAAATAAAATCTTCAACAAGAAGAAAAATAAAAAGAGCAGTTGTGTGGGGTGCCTGGGTGGCTCAGCCAGTGAAGTGGTTGGCTCTTGGTTTCAGTTCAGGTCATGATCTCAGGGTTGTGAAATCAACCCCTGTGTCGGGCTCTGTGCTTGGCAGGGAGTTTGCTTGAGGATTCTCTCTCTCTCCCTCTGCCCCTACCACCACTTACAAACATGTGCTCTCATAAATAAGTAAGTAAATAAATGTTAAAAAAAAAAAAAAAAGAATAGTAGTGTAAGGGGTACAGGAAGTGTCTCTGAGGATGTGACAGTAAACTTCCTGATTCTCTCTAGGTTGGAATGTTTGTTCACTAGTTGAAAAACACCAAATCTTCATTTAAAAAAAATCAAGGAAAAACTATGAAATCTATATTCTTTAACATTTGTTTAATAATTACATTTGTAGAAAATAAAAAGCACAGTATATTTTTGAACCAGAGATACAGGCAGCATCCATGTATGCATCTCCTATTAGTTTTACCTTAAATCTTCCCCCTCAAGGACAGGGAAGGAAAAACCCGGGAGTGGTAACATGGGTGGGCTCTGAAAGAGGCAAATGGGCTGCAGATGATAAATCTTCAAGAGGAAGGCAGCCTACAACCTGGTCAACACTGTGTGACACTGTAGGAAACAGATCTTTCTCCTTCTCTTGGGGGAAATCTGAGAATCAGACACCAGAATTCTTGTTCCAAAAGTATTCTTCCCAGAAATGAGAATGCCTCTCTCAAAGGAAGGTTCTACGAAAGCCACAAACAAAGCATGTTACTCAGTATGGTCACAACCACCATGCTTACAAGCTTCCTTGGGATGGGTCAAGTGCATACACCCAAACACACATTTATGCCAAGGGTACCCAAGAAAGTAAGTGAAATAGAAAGTAACTGGACAGGCATTCGTCAAAAGACAAAAAAATGTTCTGCAATATCCTTCATTCATTCTGGTTTGCACATGACCTACAGTTATCACCATGACCCATGGAGACACAGAGGTCTCCCATCCATTAACACGTTCACCACGTCAACACACATTTCCAGATACCTGCCACATACCCAATGATTTTAGGCACTGAGGATATAGCAATGGAAAAAAAAACCAGACACAGTTCCCCACTCGTGGGGATCACACTCCAGGGGGGACAGAGAGGAGATGAGCAAGCAAACAAAAACACATGAGGCACAATATAAGGTAAAACAAGGAGAGTAAAGAGACAGTCATGGTTTACTAAGTTGGTCAGAAAAGGCCTTTCTTGTGACGTTGAAACTGAGCAGAGACAGGAAGCAAGGAAGAGAGGGAGGGAGGGGAGGGAGAGGAAGGGGACATAAGGATTTCAGGTAAAAAGGTATGTCAGCCAGAGAGTAAGGGCTCTGAGAGACAAGTATGTGTGGTAGGCAGTTTAAATGGCTCCCAAAGATTCCACATCCTGTTTTTTGGAATGTAGAATATGTTATGTTACATGGCAAAGGGGAATTAAGGTTGCAGATGGAATTAAGGCTGCTAATCAGCTGACCTTAAAATGAAGACTCACCTCTATTATCCAAATGGGCTCAATGCAACCAAAAGGACCCTTCAAGATGGAAGAAGAGCATAGGCAGGCAATGTGACAGCAGAAGAATGGGCAGGGAGAAGCAATGTTGCTGGCAGTGAAGATGGTGGAAAGGAACCACAAGCTTAAAAACATGGGGTAACTGCTAGAAGTTGAAAAAGCAAAGACCCAGATTCTCCCGTAGACTTCCAAAAAGGAAATGCATCTGTGCTGACACCTTGAGCCCAGGAAGAACCATGTCACACCTCTGACCCAGAGAGCTACACGGCAGTCACCCTGTGTCGCCCTAAGCTGTGCAGTGTGTGGCAATTTGTTAGGACAGCAGCAGGCACTTCGGCATCCCTGGCAGGTCTGAGAAACATGAGGAGGCGGAGCAAGAGGAAGGGGACAAGTGATGTGTTCAGAGAGGAAGTGGGAGATGAGCATACCATGGAGGACTTTAGGAGCTACTTGAATCGGCTTTAGCTCAAAGAAAAATAAGCCATAGAGTTCTAGCGCAGAGAGGCATGGCGCTCTGACTCGTACTTCCTAAGGATCAGCTTAGGCTGCTACATGGAGAACAGACAACACAAGGGGTGGTATGGAAACAGGCACACAATATAAACGCAGCTGGAATGATTCAAGACAGAGTCTGGCAATCTGAACTGGGTGAAGGCAAAGGAGGCAGAAAGAATTCAGACAGATGGAAGAACACTTGCTAGGACTCCCACCTGCTTGGTTCTTGCCTGATTTTTCTTCTCTCTGGGTTGCTAGCATCATCCAGAGGGTTTTTTTTTTCTTTCTCAAAGCAGAATACATCACAGAAGCAGGGGTAGTGAGTTGTGAACACACTAAGCCACATACTTAAAATGAACACACGAAAGCTACAACTGCCTGAGTATCTGGATTCCTACACCTATTGATCAATTAATCAAAACCAGCATTTTTCGAGCACTTAAAAAAAAGCACGACCTATTTCAAGACCCAGACATATATCCACAAATATCTACCACACAATCAGCGGGACATTCTGCTGTAACGTATTCCGTTCTTTCTAACAAGCTGAGCTTTTCTACTTTATTTCATTAAAATGTGTTTGTGCACCACCAATGCAGGTGCTCATTTATTTCAAGACTCCTGAAGCCTCGAACACTTAAGGACAGAGAGCCAATCCAGGAAGCTGACGTTAAGGCACAGAGTGCCTGTCCTCACCCACAGAAATCAGGTTCCTGAAGTTCTCCAGCATCACGTCTCCATACAGTTTCCTCTGGGCGGGGTCCAGCAGCCCCAGCTCCTCCTCCGTGAAGACCACTGCCACATCCTTGAACGTCACTGTCTCCTACAACACCAAGCACATGCAGCGTCAGACCTGTACCCACTGGGAGCCAGGCAGCACTGAGGAGGTGGAGAGGATGGTGGGAAGCAGTTTCAGGGTTTGAGAGATTCAAGTCCATCCATAGGCTTGTAGGCCATTCTCCATCTACCTGGCCAATGCCACATACGGATTTTCCTTGGCCTCACCAGAAAGTGTGGCAATGACAACGTCCTTATGTTTTTATCTTGTGTCTGGAGTCAACTTACAAATAACCACCAAGAACTCTAAATGCACATCCTAGATGACCTACGTGTTAATTTTTGGTACACACTGCCGACTGTCCCAGAAGCATCTACAATTCAGCCAAACATATCTGATTGTACCCACCGTCTTCCTTTCTCACACATGAACCCTATCACTTCACTTTAATGTGTGCTAAACTCACAAGCTTTAGGTACCCTTGTGGGACAGCTGTGTGGTTCACCCCAGGTAACACTGGGCATCAGGTTCTGTAGCCAACAGGCCTCAGTGCCATTCCCAAGGGTCTGTACCTTACAAGTTGTGAGACTTTGGATGAGACTGCCTGTAGTTACCTAAGTTTCTTCTCTGTATGTGGTCCTTCCATGATGGAGCTCTTTCAAGGATTAAATCAGGGAACATCTACAGCATTTGGAACAGTGTTGGCACAGAGGAAATGCCTAACCAACAGTTGCTATCATTCATGTTATTTCTTCATGTTGCCAGTATCAGTATCTTTTTCACCTACATTTTGGGGCTATGTGTTATCCCAGAGAACAGATCATCTATCCCTTCCTGTTCTGAATAAACATCATTTAATTTTACATATTCTTCTCATTAGAATACATCCTGTAAGAACACTATTTTACATAGATCTTGTTTCCCTGTCTGATAACTTGAAAATAATTGCAAAGGATGATTACAAGGCTGAGAAATGAGCACATTTAAAATTATGATCATATGATGGCAGATTTTCTTCCCAATCTTTTTCTCACTCTCCTAAACTTGCGAGAGAATGGGACAACCCAGGTTCTCTGTATGATGGCCCAGAGCAGGCTATATATTTTTCCATGGCTTTGGTAATCTGATTTGGAAGAACAATTTGTATTAGTATTCCCACTTATTTGACTGTAAATTAGTAGAACTCCCTTTTCAGATGTTTACTCATATTTCTCATTTGTGACACGCCTATGCATGTCCTGCTTTGTATTCCACTGGGTTTTTTTTTTTCCCTTTAACCATATGCCTAAGTTTCTTATTATGGGCTTTGTCTTTTTTTTCTGGAATCCCTGTGGTAAATATTTTTGCCTCAGGTTATTGTTCCTGGTAATTTCACCTAAGGTGTCTTTTGCCGTAGAGAAATTTAAAGATTTTTTTTTAAATTTTTATTTATTTATTTGAGAGACAGTGAGTGAGAGAGAGCATGAGTAGGGGGAGGGGCAGAGGGAGAGGGAGAAGCAGGCTCCCCGCTGAGCAGGGAGCACCACATGGGGCTTGATCCCAGGACCCTGAGATCATGACCTAAGCAGAAGGTAGACACTTAACCAACTAAACCAACCCAGCACCCTGGAATTTAAAGATTTTATACAACGAGTGTGCTAACTGCCATCTTTGTGTCTGTAGTGCTGAGCAGGTCAGTGAAGGGGAGTGACCACAGGAAGAGAATCACCCTGAGAAGGGAATCAGGAAGCAGCAGCACCTGTGAAAATCATCTCTCAAAAAATACTCCAGGTGCATTACAGGTCCCAGGGCCCGAAATGAATTCTTTCTGTTTCCCTATCTCTTTCACTTGAGCAGAATGCCTCACATTTCTGGCTTGGTTTCTTGTATGAATCTGACCAAGTCTGTCATATTCACATGTTTTAAGATGAAGATAAGATCAACATCTCCTCCCTTGGCTGCTCCAAAGAGTAAATGTACAGAATGCGCCAATACTCTAAGGCACAGGGAAGATAGAGTCCAGCTCTCCCTGTGGAAACCTCCAGCAATATCTTTGTGGAGCAGTGCTTACAGACTGCTGTGCTGTGCTTGCAGTTGGATAATCCACCTAAACAACAGCTTACACCTGCACATATCGAATGTGAGGACAAAAAACTGGCAGATTCTTTTCAGACTTGGTTTGGGTGGGGGGAAAGGTTTGATGTAGGCAAGTGGTCACTACAGTGTTGGTTAGTATAATAAAATCCCTAAACCATGTATGTGTCTATAAATGGGAAGGAGTTAAAGACAGAAAGGTACAGGGGCACTTGGGTGGCTCAGTGGCTGAGTGTCTGCCTTTGGCTCAGGGCGTGATCCCAGGGTCCCAGAATCACTCCTACATCAGGCTCCCCAGATGGAGCCTGCTTCTCCCTCTGCCTGTGTCTCTGCCTCTCTCTGTGTCTCACAGGAATAGATAAAGTCTTTGAAAAAAAAAAAAAAAAGAAAGAAAGAAAGGTACATCAATTCAATGGGAGCAGAATGCAACTGTAAAAAAAGAACATTACATAACGCTAACGGGAAAAAAAATCAGAATTTAAAATTAGGTGTATTTTGTGAATATAAATTCAGTTATGAATGCCCATAAGAATAAGAGTAGGAGAAAATTACAATAGTTCATTTGTCAGCAGGGAAGTAATGAAGTGGGAGAACTGCTCATTTCTAGTAATTTTTCTACTGCATAAAATAAATAATCATGAAACAAAAGCTAACTACATGCAATGTAAATTCAAAAGGGACAAAAGTAAGACACTGGTGCAAAACAGGTCCTCAAATGCCTGTTGTTCTGCCCAGAAAAACATGATGATCTGAGTAATTAGATGGAATTTGGAAAGTGAAAAAAGGCAAGCCCTACTCACCTTGAACATAGTCATGTGTCCTCCTCCTTCTGGGGGTAGGTAGGCCAAGTCCTGAGTTGCACAGATCCCACAAAGCAGAACTGCACCTGGTGGGGTGCCTAGGAAGGCAGAAAAAAGGCATTAAAGGTAGCCCGGGATGCTGCTCCCCTACAGGGATGATTACCGTGAATCTGTAAACGAATGTTCACAGCACCGTTATTCAGGAACTGGAAACCACCGAAACATCAATCTATAATCTTTTTTTTTTTTCATCAATCTATAATCTATGCATGAACGAACAAATTGTGGCAAAATCCACACAATGGAATATTATTCACCAATTAAGAGGAAGGGGTACTGATTATGCTACAACAAGGATGAACCTTGTAAACACTACTGAAAATGAAAGAGGACGGTCACTTTCCAAAGGCCGGATATTGTGGGATTCCATTTATACAAAATGTCCAGAGGCAAATCTATGGAGACAGAAAGCAGGTTACTGGTTGCTGGGGTCGTTAACTGGGGGGTGGATCACGAGGGTTAACTGAAAATGGGCACGAAGAATCCAACTGGGGAAACAAAAATATTCTAAACTGAATTATAGTGATGGCTGCACCACTCAGCAAAGTTACTAAAAATCATTGATTTGTGCAACTAAAATGGGGTGAATTCTAGGATATGTACAATATACCACAAGTTGGTAAAAGTAAATGTTTCTTCATCTACACGTCATTTAAATTAGCAAGACGATTCTGAGTTCCTATTGCCACAATATTATATTTGAACGAATGAGTAAATAAGTAGGGGAGAAGCTGGTCCTCGTGGCAGAGTGCTAATACGTGTCTCTTCCCATAAGATTTTATTAATTTTAAGAGAAAAAAATAGTAACTTTACAATGAGAAACCTAATAGAAACCACCTCTAGAACTAGTCAACAAGGTTGAGTTCACCAATACATGGACAAACCAACCTACCTTGGCTCTTGTTATGTTGCAATGGCAAGGATGCCTCAGTGCTTCTGTGGAATCACTCCCTACAACGCATAGCAAAACCTAAACATGGATACATCAGATAAATCCCAAATGAAGAACTTTCTCCCAAAAAGCTTCCCTCTACACTCTTTAAAAGCATCAGGAGGGATGCCTGGGTGGCTCATCAGTTGAGCATCTGCCTTCGGCTCAGGGAGTGATCCCAGAGTTCCAGGATCGAGTCCCACATCGGGCTCCCTGCATGGAGCCTGCTTCTCCCTCTGCCTGTGTCTCTGCCTCTCTCTCCCTGCATCTCTCATGAAGAAATAAATGAAAAATATTTTTAAAAATAAAATAAAATTATAAAAGCATCAAGAACTGGCACCTGGGTGGTTCAGTCAGTTGGGCATCTGACTCTTGATTTCAGCTCAGGTCTTGATCTCAGGGTGAGCCCCTTGTCGGACTCCATACTGAACATGGAGTCTGCTTGAGATTCTCTCTCTCCCTATCCCTCTGCCCCTTCCCCCATTTCTATTCTCCCTCTCTCTAAACAAAGAAATAAAGTCTAAAAAAATAATGATAATAAATAATAAGTAAAAATAAAAGCATCGAAACCAGGGGCACCGGGCTCCATCAGTAGACCATGTGACTCTTGATATTGGGGTCATGAGTTCAAGGCCCCACACTGGGCATAGAGCTTATCTGGAAAAAAAAAAAAAGCATCAATGAAAAAGATAAAGGTTGTGGAATACATTCCACATTAAGGAACATCAAGTATGACAAAAATTTTGTAAAATGTGTAAACAAATATATAGCTTAAGGCAATCCATAAAATTGGACTTTGAACTGGGATGGAGTAGAGGAGACTGGTTATAATGCCTTTAAATGAAAACAGAACAAAATTAACTGAAAGACTATGGATTACATAACAGGATGTTATATAATGTTATCCAGCACTATCTAATAGGTAACATTACATTTAACATCTAATAGGTAACACTATTGTATAATATAATATCTAATATTGCCAACTGAGTGATGTTAAAATTCTATAATCAAAAAAAAAAAAATTCTATAATCAGCCTCTCCTAAATCCTTCTTCCTAACACATCTCCTAATACCCATATATGGGGCTTTCTTCCTTCAGAAAGCTAAAATAAGCCGTCACTGAATTACAAGTATAATTCCTGATGTTATGCTGACAGAGCCACAAAACAGATAGGCGAGATGTAAATAATTGGGGAATTTGGGTAAAGAGTAAGTAAGAATTTCTTATACTATTTTTACAACTTTTCGAAGGAAAAATTTTAAATTATATAAAAATAAAGTCTTAAAATATCAGAAAACAGTCATAGCAATAACAGTAATAATGAGAATAATAAATATCATGAAATTATATGGAAGTTCATTAATTTATTTTTTCTTGCCAGTGTTTAAAAATTTCCATAGTTATGGGGTACCTGGCTGGCTCAGTTGGTGGAGCATGCAACTCTTCATCTTGGGGTTCTAAGTTCAAGCCCCACATTGGGTAGAAGATTACTTAAAAATAAAATCTTAAGGGGTTCCTGGGGGGCTCAGTCAGTTAAGCAAGAGTGTGTACTCTTCATTTTGGCTCGGGTCATGATCTCAGGATCCTGGAATCAAGCCCCGCATCAGGCTCTGCGCTCAGCAGTCAGCTTGAGAGTCTCTCCTTCTCCCTCTGCCCTGCCCCTGCACAAGCATGCGCACGTGCTCTCTAATACATAAATAAATCTTTTTTTATAAAATAAAGAATAAAATAAAATCTTTAAAAAATTTCCATAGTTAAAACAAACCAGGAGAAAAACACAGAGAAATATATGATAGTTTTGTGAAATGTTTATAAACAAATATATAAATATACACAAAGAACCACCAAACAGAAATGCATTAAAAGCTTCACAGCTGGGCAGCCCGGGTGGGTGGCTCAGTGGTTTAGCGCCGCCTTCAGCCTGGGGTGTGATCCTGGAGACCTGGGATCAAGTCCTGCATTAGGCTCCCTGAATGGAGCCTGCTTCTCTCTCTGCCTGTGTCTGTGCCCCTCTCTCTCTGTATTTCTCATGAATAAATAAATAAAATCTTAAAAAAAAAAAAAAAAGCTTCACAGCTGCTACCTTGGATTAATGGGTAATTTAAAATTTTTTTCCAAAAAAAAAAAAATAAATAAAATAAAATAAAATAAAATAAAATTTTTCTCCCTCATATTCTGTATTTTCTGAATGTTCCATAATTATATGGTTCTATAATAATTAAGCATATTATAAGTAATAAGTGAAACAGAATAGTTGACAGTGTTTGGAAAAACTCAAAAAAGTCACAAACCACTAGCTTTGCTTTTCAGGTCCTCCAGAATCAAGGGCTAACTACCTGGGGTCTGATTTCTGTGGGTTCCTACAGCTTAAGAAGAACATACCCAAGAGATTAGGAACTCGAGCTCTGGACTCAGACTGCATTCATCCCAATCCTAGCTTGGCCTCTTACTACATAGGGACTTTGGGAAAAGAATTTATGCTCCATGGGTCTCAATCTCATTTTACAGAATAGAAAAAGAAAGCAGGATTTCTTCACAGAGCTATGGTATGGCACAATGTATTTGTATAAAACCGTCACTGGTGAGGTCGGCAGTTAAGGGTCAGTTATTACTAATGCCCATGCCCGATTACACGTGTATCATCTGATTGATGTGAACATTGTTGCGAAAGAAAAATGCCAAATCCCACTCACGTGGAACCTTGCTGTAGTAGTCAAGGAGTCATTCCTTGGGTCTCTGCGCAGCTCTTTTTGAGAAGTTAGGCTGGGGAAAGAAAAGAATGTTATGAAATGCCATGATCGTGTGGCTCTCCTCAACAAAAGTTAAAGCCTCCCCTTCCTCCATGCAATCTGGAAGCAACCCTTATCACCAACTACACCCCAAGACCTGATGTTTGCTTCCCACCTGCTTGTACTCATTAACCTCTCTTACATTTTTCCTTAAGCTCTTCCTCGTGCACCTCTTAACTCAGGCATGAAACCCAAAACCATACCTTGGGTGATGACCGCTGCCCTGACAAGACCTGCCACAGGCCCAGACCACTGAGAGCTTTTGAGGCCAACTCATACCTGCACAAAAGGACCATGGAGTGACTTCTGGGATGATCTATTCCCTTTACCTCATTAGAATACTAAAATCCCTGCCCAAGGAAGGGGGAGGGCTCAGCCTCACATACATAACACACAGTGTAGGTATTGGCATGTTTCACTAAGGCACATGCTCCACCTTAGGCCCATCTTTACATATGATGATGACAAGACTTCCCTATCTAGGGTGTCTGGGTGGCTGAATAGTTGAACATCTGTCTGGCTGAGGTCATGATCCCAGGATTCTGGGATCAAGTCCCACATTGGGCTCCCCGCAGGAAGCCTGCTTCTCCCTCTACCTATGTCTCTGTCCCTCTCTGTGTCTCTCATGAATAAGTAAATAAAATCTTAACAAAAAAGACTTCCTATCTAAATATCTATCCTAACTCTCAACAAAGGGAACCCATTCACCATCTTTTGGGGAGTCACGGCTTTGGAAGCCATTCCTCATGATCTCCTTAGTTGCTGTAAATAAGCTTTCTTTGTGCAACAACTCAACCTGGTACGGTTTCTGAATCAAGGAGAGAACTCACGTTGGATCTGCTGCACCCTCACCTTCCTAAAAGAGAGATTATAAGGGGCAGAATCATGCAGGAATCAGAGAAGAGGAAAGGTTCTGCAGTGGGGTATCTACCCTACCCTAAGGATTTCAGGCTCTTCGGGAAATTAATACTAAGAAACGTCACCATCCACCTTGTGCCAGAAACTGTTTTGAGATGTTTATTTCTACCACTACAGCTGGCACGCAGGGGTGCAAGCGCAGCTGCCTGTGGGAATCCCAAACAGACCAGATTTGGCCTCTTGCCCCTGACAAAATCCACAGGCAGAGACATTAGTGGCGGTGAAATAAGAAAGGAATTTATTTCAGCGACGCCAACGGCTGCAGACCAGCTCAAAGACTCTTCAAAGTATTGGAAACGCTTCCAGGTTTATACACAAAAAATGTGGGGCAATGGCAGGTGGGCAGTGAAGGTCAAATGATCACCGTCTCAATCACGGGTGGGGCCTTGCTGGCTCACAGCAGGGCTTACTGCTGGAGGGGGCAGTTTGGTTCCACCAGGGGATGCTTTGCCCTCAGGGTCTTCCACCCGAGACAAGAGACAAGCTGGACAGAAGCCAACTAGAAAGTTTGAGGTCAAAATGGAGGCAGCTCTCCCCACCTCTTCGATTCCCCAACAGCAGGAAGCAGAAGCACCCGTGGGTGTAGGGAGGCAGACGCTGGGCGAGCGAAGACACGCAGAAACTCTCAAACCAGGCGACAGGCGACCCCACCCCACCCCACCCCAGGACTGGCAAACCACCCTGAACGCGGAGACTCCCCCAGGGATGCACTCCACTGCCCTCCCGCTGCATACCTGCGTACTCTGTCCAGGCTTCTTTCCCCCTAAATCGCCCACTCGCTGCTGGTTCCAAGCACAGATCCAGGAAGTTTGGAAGCGTCCGAAGAGGCGGAACTGACGCACTGCTCCCAAAGAAAATTCAGTAACAACCTCACACTCCCCCCCAGCGGAAGTGCCAGCGAAACCATGGAGCTTCTGGACTACACTTCCCAGAAGGCACCGGATCCGCCTTCCTGAGCGGAAGTGCATGCCGCCACACGGAGCGTCTGGACTACATCTCCCAGAATGCCGAGGGCGAAACGTTTTTAGTCTCACCCTCCGAAAGTGTTGCAGTTGCTGGGAGCTCCTTGTTTACGCTTCCTCAAAATGCCAGAATGGAAGGAATCACGTAGTCTCGACTTCTTGGGTGGTTATGAGGGTTTCTACACTAAGAGTCTGCGTTGCCTCTGCCTGAGTGCTCAGAGAAATTATTCCATGGACACAACTTCCTGAATTCGGAATGCCTCCAATTGTGACAGGAGTATTGTTGGGAAGGGAACCGGTGAGGAGAAAACAATCTTCAAGAAATTAACGGGGGCGGGGGGGGGGCAGAAAATAACGGGGAATGATTGCTTAGGCGACGCAAGATAATTGAAAGGTAGATGAAAGGACGGTATGAGGCTAAAACAGGGTTTAAAGAATGGGTGGGATGGAATGACTTGGGAGAAGCGGTGACCCCTATGCCAGACCCTGATGTACCACAAGTTTAGTAGAAAAAACAACTTAACTCCTAACTCTGGGAAACGAACTAGGGGTGGTGGAAGGGGAGGAGGGCGGGGGGTGGGGGTGACTGGGTGGCGGGCACTGAGGGGGGCACTTGACGGGATGAGCACTGGGTGTTATTCTGTATGTTGGCAAATTGAACACCAATAAAAAACAAATTTATTATTAAAAAATAAAAATTAAAAAATAAAAAAAAAGAAAAAACAACTTAAGACGGCCGAAGTGGAAGCTTGTCCTTATGAAAAGTCGCTCTTGCCTCACTTAAACTTTTTATTAGAATTATTATTCCTACTTCGGAGGTGAAAAGGTCAAGTTTCAGTGAAGCTACAAAATTGTCCACTATCTTAAAACAAGCAGAAGAGCTGCAGAGCTTGACACTGGACTTATGCTGATTCCCAAAGCCTCTGATTTAACGCCAAAACACTGAGGAGGATTCTGTAGGTGAGGGAGCATGTTCCAGTATTAGGGGTTTTTTTCCTTTATATTTCTGGTTAAAATATCTTTATTATAGTTAGCAATTTTAAAACACATAAAAACTAAAAATAGTATGAACCAAAATAAGAAGAAATGCACCTAGAATCCTTCCCCCTGGAAAAAAAAAAAAGGTTTGTCTCCTAAACCTGTCTCCATAAACTTACATATACCTATCAACATACTTATTTGATTTTTAAAATGAACTCTCATGTTCTCTATTCATTTTTCTAGACTGTGTAAACTAAACATTTTCTAGTATCAGTCACTGAAAATCTAACTCCTTTCAAATAATGGCTGTATGATATTGCATTGAGCAGATTGAGAATGAAAACCACAACAGCCCCTGACATCTGGAAGCTGGTGTGGCACTCACAAATAGGTCATGTTGTTCTCCTTTGGGATAGTAAATGAATCACTACCCTCAAATGAGTGTTCTCTGAGACCATGGTGAAGTGAGACAAAACAAGGCTCCTTCTTAATTCTGTTGAGACAGACAAAAAACAAGATGACTGTGCCAGCCACACAATGCCAACATCCCCCTTTTGCTGGTTAAGTGACTGCTACTACCTTATCCCTTAGATCTTTATCTTTGTTCCAGTCTGCCTTCACAAAAGATGAAATTTGTTGAAATACTCAATCTTAGAATTGCTCCTGCTTTCTGAAAGTATTTAATCTAGAGTGAACCCTGCTTCCTTAGGTCCTCCCCAAAACACCAAACAAGCCTCAAATGTTGTAATAGATTCTTTCTTTTACCCTCTTTTTCTTTGGATGCCTCATAGTTTTCCCTAGTGGGTGTACTCTCTTACTGCAATAAATAATAAACCCAACTTGTCTAACTATTGGTGTGTTTCTGGATGAATTAAGTAAGTATTTTGGCACATTCCCAGATAAATAGTAGGTTTGCTATGACATATGAAGCGGCAATGAATATCATTTTATGTTCTTCTGGGACAGACAGAAATTTTTGGCTAGTGAACTATCAATCACGAATCACTCCTTTCTTAATCTCTTCCATTTCAGAGAATAGAAAAAGCTGAATGCTCACTTGTCCACCTTCCTTGCAGCCACACAAGTCCATGCATACAACTGGCTAATGAAATACTGTCAGAGAAGATTACAAGGTACAGGGGAGTAGGGACCTGTGCAACCATAATCTGTCCAACAGTTTGGTGTAGTGCACAGGGTCACCAAGGAATCACACCATGGCATGGTGGAAATGCAAGAGCTTAACAGCCTTGTTGCCCCAGGGTGGTGCTGGCTCCCCAAAGAGTAAGGTGGCCAAGGTGTTGGCCACCTTCTGGTCACATGAGGACAAACACGATGTAGATAATGTTCCTTCCTTGTTAACAAGGATGAATTACTGCAATGCGTAAGGGTTGGAAGTATAAGGGGTGGGTCCTTAGAAGGGCAGAGAAAATATATCTAGATGTTTGGTCACCCTTGCACTCCCACGTCATCCACTAACTCCCATGGTGTCTCTGAGGTTGCAGACAATGTCTGGGAGGAACAGAAGGCCCTGTGTGGGAAGCTCTACCCAGTTTGGGTCACTTGCCAGCCTCAAGTAAGACCTATTTTCATGCAGCATTGAACAACTGATGATGACATTGTTGAAAACAGGACAGTTGAAATGAGGTCTTCTCTGAGGGAGGAATTAAAAATTGAAGTACAGGGGCACCTGGGTGGCTCAGTGGTTGAGCATCTGCCTTTGGCCAGGGCGTGATCCCAGATTCCTGGGATCGAGTCCCACATCAGGCTCCTTGCATACAGCCTGCTTCTCCCCTCTGCCTGTGTCTATGCTTCTATTCCTGTGTAAAATGGCATACACATTTTTTCCAGGCCCTTGTAGGGCTAAAGATTGAACTGGTGACATTGGGGGTTTTCAGGGTGAACATGGTTACACGTGGTGCTTATCTGCTGTGTGGTTTATGTACCTAATATGCTTGTGGGTGGGGTCCTTTGGGATGTTTCAGGTACTGGTTATTCTGGTTCCCATAAGTGAATGCAGAATGGGCACTCATTTTGGCTGCTTTTGGCATAAAATGTCACCACCTTCTGAGGGGGCATGCACCCTCATGGCAAAGAATATGACCCATAACAACAAAGACTCCTGCCTGCCACATAAGTTAACCAGGATGCAATGGATTTTTGACAATACTGCATATCAGATAGGGAAAAAAAATAGGGCACCTGGGTGGCTCAGCAGTTTAGCATCTGCCTTGGGCTCAGGTCGTGATCCTGGGGTCCTGGGATTGAATCCCACATTGGACTCACTGCAGGAAGCCTGCTTCTCCCTCTGCCTGTGTCTCTGCCTCTCTGTGTGTGTTTCTCATGAATAAATAAATAAAAACTTAAAAAAAAAACACACAAAAAAACCTATATCTTTTTCCAGAAGAGAATGCAAAGGTTGAGTGATGTTCATTCTTTCCCTTTGCTATCTTGTACCTTAGATACTTTAATGTAAATTAATATTATTACATATTATATTTGATGATTTAAGAAATAAGAGATGGAAGAAAAAATACTTGGGTAATGCATACACAAATATATTAATAAAAAACAAGAAATACTTATATTTACAGTCCTCATTTCTGCATCTAGTCACATTGTCCTAACTGGTATTTATAACAGCTCTTCTACTACTTATACACATTCCCTTTGTGCTCAACAAGCACTTCATTTGGTTGTGGTTCTTTTTAAAACATTTTTTTAAAGATTTTATTTATTTATTCAAGAGAGAGAGACGGGAGGAGAGAGGGGCAGAGAGAGAGGCAGAGGGAGAAGCAGGGTCCATGCAGGGAGCCCGATGTGGGACTCGATTCCAGGTCTCCAGGACGACACCCTGGGCTGAAGGCAGGCACTAAACCGCTGAGCCACCCAAGGATTCCCTGGTTGTGGTTCTTTACCTGTAAATGAACCAAATGTTCATTCTTGAAGGGTCTGGGGCATTAGTTGACCTGCCTATATTGGGTTGTTTTACTTTTTAATATTTTATTTTTAGGTAATCTCTACACCTAATGTGGGGCTTGAACTCACAACCCTGACATCAAGAGTTGCAAGCTCTACCGACAGCCATCCAGGTGCTTCTGGGTTGTTATACTCTTTCACTAACTTTAGTTACAAGGTATGGTAGTTGTGACATCCTAAGGGTTTCCTGTATTCCAGGAATACTCTATCTCCGTGGAATAGCAGCAGCCTAATTTTCCCTTGGTTAGGTTAATCACCACAGTGAGTGGCCTGTTGTTTCTGAGGCATGAGGATCCCAAAGTGGTTGGCAATGCTTCAACTTCCTATTCAGTAGAACTGTTGTTTTAATTCCTGATGGAAGCATTCTTCTCTTTGTAAATACCTCCACACCAACAGAGTCTAAGGGCTTATGGACAAAATGTACAAATTTTGCTGGGATAATAGTGAGGGATACTAGGGATAATAGTGAGTAGAGCCATTCCCATTTGAACCCCTTTATTCCCGCACCCCTATCTTCCACCTATGGATAAAACAGTACAGTATAATATACTGGACACTGATTTATTTTTTTTAAAGATTTATTTACTTATTTTAGAAAGAGAGAGAGCATAAGCTGGAGGGGCAGAGGGAGAGAGAGAGATAATTCTGAGCAGACTCTGCACCAAGCACAGAGCCTGATGTGGGGCTCAAACCCACAACCCTGAGATCATGACCTGAGCCGAAACAAAGAGCCAGTTGCTTGGCTGCACCATCCAAGTGCCCGTGGACACTGATTTGGACAATATACAGCAGCTGGGAGGACAGTATGAAGCCCCACAAGTTATTGCCACCTAATTGGCGGTGTAACTGAGGCTTTGAATGGCATTTCACCATACCATGAAGCCAAATGCTTCAGGATGATAAGGAAAATGGAAAGTGGCAGAGCAGCTTACATGGCAACCAAGACCT